TGACATGAACCGAGGTCCAGTTCAGTCTCAGGCTGAAGCTTCTCTGCTGGATCAGATCCTCAGACTAACACGGAGTAGAATGTAATACCTCTTGGTTTTTTTATATTTATATTTATTGACGTTGTTAATATTCCAGTGCTGCCTCTTCATGTTCTCGTTGTTAAGAAATGTCGCAGGGTCACAGGAACATTTCATCATTACATTTGAAACTGGTTTTCATTAGAACTTGATATTCCACGTCCCAGGGAGTGACTCCAGATTAACTGACCTTTGATACCAGTAATGCACCGGAAGCTTCTGGTAAGTATTCAGACAGGTTTAACTCAAAGTATGAGAAGGAGACACATAATAGCAGCTGACACCAACCTGAACTGACGACATTAAAGAATCAACCGTCGATGTAGTTTGTTGAGGTTTGTTGGTGTGAACACACACACAAAGACAAACTGTGACTCTGTTCTAGACCTTCATCTTTAGTTTTTAGTTGTAAAGCTTCAACCAATCAGTGATACTTTTTAACAGAAACTTCCTGTTTCCGATAAAGACTGAGTTGTTTTAACTTTTTTAAAAATATATATATATTTAAAACATTCTGTTCTTGTAGAGTGTGAATATGTATAAATGTTTTCTGGTCAGAAATAGACCCAGCAGATATTTGTTATGGAATTCAAATGGCAATATTCACTATTTCTATGCTGTTAAACATTGTTTAAATAAAATAAATATAAACACACAAATAATAAATATTTATTTTTGGGCTCAGAACGTAGTAATTCGAGGAGATTGTTTTATTGGTGTTTTTTTATTTATTTTGTATTTATATAAACTCCTACAGATCCCATTGAATTGAATCCATGAGAAATTCTTAACCGACCATCCAGTCCGGTAGAGGGCGATAGTGTACCAGTTTACTGCTGTGCTCACATCCGTTGACATCCGAGTAAGAAGGAAAAAAAAAACATGTCTGACTTGGACTTTCATACATCTGTCTTAAAGTGTCCTCTTATTTAATTTATTTTATATATTTTTGTGTTTCTCCTGAGTTGTTTTCAGCAGAAATGCAGACGCGGTGAAGCCGCTGCTCACTCGTCGGTTCAGACTCGACTCTGTCGCCGCCGTTTTAATCCGTGTCCTGTCGGTAATAAACGTCATCATGTGGTGGTTACGGTTTTGCAGAGTCGGTAAATCCACACTGGACACGGTTGTCAGGAGAGGCTGCTCCACAGACCAGGGCGAGGTGAGGGTCAGGTTTGCCCCCAGTCCCACAGGTAGGACCCGGAACAACACCCTTAACGTTAAGTCATTAAACTAAAGTTACTACAGCACTTCTAAAGGTCAGCTTTAGTACAGTTACTACAGCACTTCTAAAGGTCAGCATTAGTACAGGATAAATATATTACACAAAACATATAAATACAAAAACAAATTAATCTGTCTTATTCTTAATCTTAAAATTTGTCCTAATCTGTTTTGGCAAATACTGAAAAATATTTATATATATTTAAAATCAAGGAATTTAATAACTTTAATAACTGTCACACTATCTGTTATATGCCCCCAGCTGTATCACTACGTTAGGTTGAGTTTAGATACAGAGTATTTGGAGTATGTGTTTTCATTAGGTACTACTGTAATATTCTGTAAGTACTCCTCCGTACCACAGGCTTCCTACACCTGGGGGGTCTTCGGACCGCGCTGTACAATTACATTTTTGCAAAGAAATACGGCGGCGTCTTCATCCTGCGGCTGGAGGACACGGACCAGAGTCGACTGGTACCTGGAGCAGCCGAGTCCATCGAGGACATGCTGGAGTGGACTGGTACGGAAACGATACAGATACTGATGAATCAGCTGTCGATAAATCACTGGTCAGGGTGAAAGGTCAACTCTGTCAGTCTGTCCACAGGTTGAAAACCTCAGGTTTTTTTTTTTTTACTCCCAGGTATCCCACCAGATGAGAGTCCTCGTCGGGGGGGTCCAGTCGGTCCTTATCTGCAGTCCCACAGACTGGAGCTGTACAGACGGACGGCGCAGCAGCTGGTGGAGGGCGGTCACGCGTACTACTGCTTCTGCAGTCTACAGAGACTGGAGCTGCTGAAGAAGGAGGCTCTGAGG